TAAATTCAGGGACCAATTTTTTAAAATTGAACAAGTCATCGGGACTTTGATGCAATTTTAAAATTTTTATTTTTCTTTTATTTTAGTATGTGTGGCATTCTTATAATTTATTAAAAGTTTAATAAATGCACATTATAAAACAAGAAAATGCACAATATTGTGGTTTAAATTGCACATTAAAAATCACATCGTAATTTTATTAAACTATAGATTTTGCACTGCTTATTGTTCGGTCGGTTTGGTTGTTTCGGCCGCTTTAAATAATAATATCAACATGTAATCAAAATATTCAAAATTTTAAAAGCAAAAAATAGATAATTAAATTGAAATATTAAAAATCGACCCCAAAAATCTTAGTTCGGTCGTTCTCGGTCACTAGTGTGCAGTCTAAAAGACATTAATGTGCTGGTGGGCCCCACGCAATGGGTTGGTGGTTGGGAAGTTGATGTGATGAACTAGTGTGTGTGGTGGGTCCACAGGCTTAGTGAGGAAAATCACCATACTGCCATCAATGAAACACAGGTTTAGTGAGGAAAATTACCATACTGCCATCAATGAAGATATAATTTTGGTTTTTTTTTTTTTTTTTTTTTTTTCTGGCCGTTGGATCATTTAATCTAATGATCAAGATTTGTTCTTATTTCTTTTATTGAGCATTTTTCTCGAGCGCATCTCTATATATAATTTCTGGTAAAATAATCCCATAGAAGTAGTATTGTTAATAGATAGAATAGGAAGTTTTCCCAAATATCATTACAAAAGTTGCAAATTTACAAATTAAAAAATGTTACTACTTGAGGCTAGAGTCACGAAAGTTAGTATCACGCAAACAGACAATAGTAATTCCAAGGTCCATTCCATTATGCATGGGTGATGCTTGAATTTGTGGCAAAGCCAGTAATCATGAAACCTATCTAATCAAAAAACTTTATTTGCACAACCACCAAATCTACTTTTTAGAGATTCTTGTTAGAAGGGCGAAAAAAATACATATAGAAGAATTTCCCTTAGTTTTGTAATGCAAGGCCATTTTCCCAAATCAATATTTTTAGACGATTATATTTTTCCAACAAATATGTATATCTAAACAGATAAATATAGGATATTACAAAATAATAACAATAAAAATACAATATTTGATAACCTAAATATACTTTTTTATTATAAAAATATTATGAGTCGACATGTCTAATATTTAGACAGTCTCACACAATAATTTGTCAAATTGAGTCTGTGGTCAGAAGCTTTATGTCTAGTTAACTAACAGAGAATTTTAGGGGTGGAGCACAGTTCGGGACAGTCTGGAATTTGGCCTCTCCCAGCACCTGTCCTGCTTTTAGAAACAAGTCTGAGAACAGTCCAGGATGCCAATTTACGCGAAAACAATAACTTTTCAGTTTCCAATAAAAAAAACTATAAATATCATCAAATATTTTCAATTATTACATTGTTAATGGATCAAATTCATAATCCCAATATAAATATATAAAACCCATGTGAATATATATATATATATGGTTGGGTTCAACTGAGAATGATACTCAATGAAAGACATAAGAATACATCGTAGCCATCAGATCAAATGATCTAACAGTTCAAAAAAGCCAAAATTATACTCTAAGTAAGGGTATTTCGAACATTTTTCCCATATCTATCTATGGACCCCATCAGACCCACCAATTAATTTGTCCCACAACCCAACACCCATCCAACTCACCACAGTCGTCACACAAACACACATACCGAAAGTACGCACTTAGGACCTTCCTCTACCACGCGACGGTCCTACCGCCTGCCATCGCCATCATCACTTTGTCTAACATTCACAATCACCAGTCGTCGAAGGGCAGAGTACCGACCAGGAAAAAAATATTGCCCAGCCTAGTGAGGCTTCTCTAAGACACGACAGTTCCGCCGCTCGCCATGGTTGGCATTCGCTGCTGCCGTCATCACTCTGTCCGACTTTCTTATACCGCACAATCAGCAGCCGTCAGAGGGTCGAGGATCGTCCATGAAAAAAAATTGCCTAGCCCAGCGAGGCAGCCATCTCTTTTCTTCAGTCCGGCGAGGCAGCCATCTCCTCTTGTCCCGCCGTCAACATCCGTCGAGTCCCGAAAAGGCAAACACCTTGCCATCTTAATGGAGAAACAATTCGATTGCTGGGAATTTGGGGATTGAGTTTGGGATTTTTTTTTTGAAATTTAATAATTTTCAAGGACTTCATTGCAATTACAAGAATTTTGATTATACTTCAATTTAGTCCATGGTCTAAATTTATAATTTAGAGAAAATGGAAATATATTATTTTTATATATTTTTTATACATATATATTAGTCCATGGTCTAAATTTATAATTTAGAGAAAATGGAAATATATTATTTTTATATATTTTTTATACATATATATTAAAATAATAAATAAATTTTTATAATATAGATAATAAATTATGTCGATTGTTTAGGTTAATTCAGTTACCAATCAAATCGAATAAACTGATTATTCCGGTCCGATTTTAGTTTGAATTTTCACATGAAAAAACTCATACTGCATAATGGACGCACATTAGTAACTATCAGACTTCACAATACTGTTAGACCAAATGCATATTAATGCATTCGAGAATGCACATTAGCATAATAGTGTGCATAATCACATATATTAAAATTTCAATTATTTTGGTTCGATTTCGGC